AACATGCCCAGTTTCTCCAGCCAGGCCTCATGGACTCAAGAAGCTTCCCTAACTTTCTCGCCCAGCTTTAAACATTCTCCAGCCCACTGGTGCCCTTCCTGACCTGTGGTGGCCACAACTGAACACACCACTCTAGCCAAGATCTGACAAGGTCAATGGGCAATGTGATTATCACCTTACTGTTCCTAGAGTTATATCCCTCCTACTTCAGCTCCTTGCTGGTTTTTCCACTTTTAGAAGGAAGCAATTATCACTAAGGTAAGTCAGAAAGTGATTATATGTTCTGCTCTGGGCAGAAAGAGGGAGAATTCTACTACCACTACTACCACCACCACCACCGCTACTACTACTACCACCACCACCACCACCACCACCACCACCACCACTACTACTACTACTACTACTACTACTACTACTACTACTACTACTACTACCATTACTACTGTTACTGCTGCTGCTGCTACTGCTACTGCTATTACTACTACTGCTGCTTCTGTTACTGTTACTGCTATTGCTACTGCTACTACTACTATTATTACTACTGCTGCTGCTGCTGCTGCTACTGCTACTACTACTGCTACTGCTACTGTTACTGTTACTGTTACCACTACCACTACTACTGCTACTACTACTATTACTATTACTAGTACTACTATTATTACGACTACTACTGCTATTGTTACTGTTACTGCTATTACTACTACTACTACTGCACAATAGTAATAATCTCTAACAATCAGATAGCTAGGCACTGCACTGCGTGCTTCACAGATATCATCTCATTTGATAATGTAGCACATTCTCGCCCTGCTGTAGTGGGGTCATGTCCATTCCATGAGTCAGAGGTTTTTCATCCTTTCTTCGTTTACTCTCAATTCCCTCTGAGATGACAGTTGAGCAGTAGGTAGCTGGAGCCAGGATGGTGGAGATGGAGCAGCCAGCTGCCAGACTCTCCCATGGCCCACTCCCTTTTGGACATTCTTCTGGATTAGCAGAGCATGGGTCATTATGTCCTGTCCTCTGTACATTTATCCCAGGTGCCAAAGCCTAGTTTGGCCTCTCTCTCTTCCCTAGAGATGTGAAGACCTGAGTGAGGAGGGAGTGGAAAAATTCTGGGGAGAAAATTGTTTTTCTATCACTCCCACAAGGAAAAAGTGTTTGTTTCCACCCACTCCACCATGCATGACAAGATTTTCAATGATCTTTCCTTTTTATCTCGTAAATAAGCATGAATAACATTCTTGTGAATAGACGTTGAAGTGCAGGCAACAATACAGTGGAATGAACCTCGGCCTTAGAGAATGAGTATTGTGTCCCATCCCCGCTCTGCCACTTAATGTCCGAGTGACACATGGCACTTCGTGTATCTCTGCCTCAGTTTCCTCAGACACTGAAAAGAGTTCTGACTGGGGAACGGAAGGCCAGGGTCTGAATCCTCCCTTTGCTTGTTTGCTTCCAAATCGCTCAGCTTCAGTTCCTTCATCTGTAAAGTAAAGGATGTCCTCTCTTGAGGACCCTTCCAGCTCCAAATCTCTTGTTCTGGGAAGCAACAGCGGATAGTGGAAAGACTGCCAAATTGAGAGTTGGTGCCATGGTTTCGAATCCTGCCTCTACCAGTTCTTATCGGTGGGACTTTGAATGAGTCATCATTTTGCCTCAGCTTTCTCATCTGTAAAATGAGGCAATTTGAACCAGATGACTTCTGAAGCCCCTCCTATTTCCAGATCTATGACCCTAAGCATTGCTTTGTGGCTCCTTGACCTTAACTTTCCCAAAATAAGCAGTACAAATAAAACAAGAGAATTATATGTTAAATTGTAGATGGTGTGACACGGCTCCCCTTCCATGGATAAGCAGGAGAGCTCAGCTCTCTTAGCAATAACACAATGGGCTTAGGCCTCCGTTCTGCAAAGAATGACAGCAGCTTTGCTGCCGCCTTTGGGATTCTTCTTGGTGATGTTTGACCTCGTAGTTGACATAAGTATTCCCATCCTGTAGATAAGCCCTCCCAAGTCTCCATATAGCAGAGCTTGGCAGAAGTTTCTATTTTCACAAAGGCTGAAAAGAAGAGACTTGTGGCCGGCTTGACCCCCTGAGACTCAGGCAAAGAGGAAAATCAAAAGTTTGAGGGTTGACCAAGGTCCCTTCCAGCTCTCTAAATTATATAATCCTATGACGCTGGAGACTTTTTCTCTCAGACCTGCGATCTGGAAATCCTCAAAGAAGGTAAAAGAAAGCCAATTTCCCTATTGAAAGAGAAGCATTTAAATTCATTTGCATTCATGACACTTACATGAGCTGTCTCCAGTGCCTAGGATGCTCTCCCTCCTCCCCAAACCTCTTAGTATCCTATGTTTCCTTCCCAGCTCAGGTCCAGTGTCCATGACTCCATGAGGCCCTTCCCAACCCCCTAGCTGGCTCAAGCCTTCTTACCCCTTATAATTTGCGGTGATTGCTGTTCAGTCGTTTTCGGTCGTGTCTGACTCTTCCTGACCCCATTTGGAGTTTTCTTGGCAAAGATACTGGAGTGGTTTGCCGTTTCCTTCTCCAGCTCATTTTACAGATGAGGAAACTGAGGAAGAGTAAAAAGTGACTTTTCCTGGGTATTATAGCTAGTAAGTGTCTGAGGCCCATCTGAACTATGATTACCTTGATTTAAAAAAAAAAAATTTGCAGCATGGCATTGTGAATCAAGTACTGGCCTCTCCTATCCAGAAAGAGCTGGGTTCAAGTGTTTCCTGTGACACCCCCCCCCACATTGGCCAAGTGTCTTCACCTCTCATTGCTTTCTAGGGCTATGAGTTGTAGAAGAGGAGCGCCTGCTGCAGCCGTTGCGGGAATCTCCTACACTGATGGAGTGTCAGGCGCAGTCCTCACCCCTCTATTCTGAGTACATTTTCAGATGTCCATGTTATTTCCTCCCCAGAATGGGGGCTCCTCCAGAAGAAGGGCGTTTCATTTTTGTACTCATACCCTCTACCCCAACTCAGAACCTGGAACACAGAGGACACAATAAACGCTTTTTGATTACTTGGCCGATCACGGGATCATAGATTTAAAGCTAGAAAGGACTGGAGGGGCCATCAAGTCCAAAAAACACACTTTACAGATGAGGAAACTGAGGCACAGAACATTTAGGTGACTTGCTCAGCATCACGCAGCTAATAAGTCCCTGAGGTAGCTTCAAAACATGGCAGCTCCAAGGCTTGCTTTACCTAATATTCCATACTGCCTCAATTGATTAAGTAATAGGTTCTAGGAGAGAGAGCTAAAGTATAGAAAGTGAAGAGCTGCAGGGACAGATAAAGAGTCTATACCACACCTTTTTTAGAGTAATAGCATTAACAGGAAATTGTAGATTGGTGGAAGGAAACTGAGGCTGCCTACTCAAAGCATCATCAGCATTTCAAAGGCCCTAGGGTACAACCCCCTCAACTGTGAAATGAGGGTTGAGGAAACTGAGACAGGCAAAAGTTAAGTGACTTGCCCAGAATCTCAAGAAAGGGAGTGTCTTGGAGCAGCTAGGTGGTGCAGTGGATAGAGCTCCAGCCTTGGAGTCAGGAGGACCTGAGTTCAAATCCAACCTCAGACACTTGCTAACTTACTAGCTGTGCGACCCTGGGAAGGTCACCTAACCTTGATTGGCTCACCAAAAAGCAAAGAAAAAAAAAAGGAAAGGAAATGTCCAAGACAGGACTCCAGCTCCAAGTCCAGTGTTCCATCTATGCACCACCTAATGACCTTATACCTACTGGTGTCTTTGAAAAGTAAATTCTTAGAGGTTACATATGTCTATCTTCTTCTGCCCCACTAGGTCTGTATTGCATAATTCCTAGAACTCTTTCCACACTCAACTTATTGGGTGTAGGTGAAGTCTGACCACACCCAATCTGCACCACCCCACTGCCTTGTGGGTGAAATTCATGCTTCATTCTTCAGAGACCTTGGTATTTTCTGTCTCAATACTATACTATCAACAGAGTGTTGGTATTAAAAATCTGGGCTTTGACTTTCATGGGAAGCCTGGCATCAGTACAGTAGCTCTGTAACTTCCCAGAGGTGAGCCGGCTCACTCCCCTCCTACTGTTCAGATTTGGGCCCAACACACTGTTGGCTGCACTTTTGGAGCACTCTTTAGAACTGCAAACATCTCATGGTGTAGGGGGAAGAAGTGTGGAGCTGAAGCCAGAGGATATGGAGATGAATTCTGGATTTGCTCCATTACCTCTGTGTCCTTGGGCAAGTCACTGCACTTTTCTAGGCCTCAGTTTCCCCATATGTAAAATAAGAAAGTTGGAATAGGTGACCCCAAAGAGGCAAGACTAGACAATCTCCCAGGTCCCTTCTGACTCTACAGTTCTGCAATCTTTGACTCAGTTTGTCTGGGGATAAAGTCCTCAGCTCTGAGGAAGACTGAGGCACAGCTGAGAATTCCAGAAAGTGCTGAATGTTTTCTCATGCTTGAATTAAGAAAGGCCAGGTATGGAGTAATGGCAGCAGTAGCACTTAAAAGAGAGCAAACCGGGGGGGCTTAGGGAGGTTCTGTCTGGGGTCCTTGGCTCCCTCCCAGAGAAAGAGAGAGCAGCAGCTCAGAAGCACAGCTTTTCATGGAGTTGTGCATCTGGAGACTGATCAAAACCTTCGGAAACTGTGAGTGTCTGGTCAGCTACAGTCAACACGAGCCCTGCTTCCTCGGAGCAGCAGCTCTTCCATCCACCCCAAATTACAGCAGACACTGGATGAAGAAGGTGGTCAGAGAAATGACCCGGGGGGAGGGGGGAAGAGGAGAGGAGCTTTTAACTTCAAATGCGAGAGTTAAAAGACTCACAGAAATCGCCCAAAACACTCGGAGAAACTCACTTTGTTTTGTTTTTTCTCCCCTCTCCCCTTCTCCTCCCTCCTCCTTCCTCTCCCTCAACCTTGTCTCTGTCTGAATATCTTTCTGTATCTGTCTCTGTCTCTCTCTGTCTCTCCTTCTCTCTGTGTCTCTCTCTTTCCAGCGTTATTTATTTCATTGTGATTCGAACCATTTGGATTAAGAGCAAAGCCCACGATAGGATCGTCTCCAATTGCTCCGGTAAGTCTCCAGTCCTAGCACCACATTCTCAATTCTCGATTTGTTTTACTTGTTTGATAAGATTTCCTGCTGGGATGTGGGAAATCGTATATGTCTGACGTCAAAGACTCTTCAGAGATCTCATCAGTCAGCCAAGCTGCTTTCTTTCTACAAGCGGCTTCCCTGTAAAGAGACAAGATAGGAAGGCCTGACTTCAAATCTTGCCTCCAACATTAGCTGTGAGACCCTGGACAAGTCATTTAGCTTCTCAGGGCAGCTCTCTAGGTCTTTAAGTTACAATGCAAGAGATGATCTTCATGGGTGAAAGGTGTTTCTCCATCTGAACGGGTGAAAGGTGTTTCTCCATCTGAACGTCCCTGGAGATCAATGAGATCACATTTCCCTCATGACAAGCATGACCCCTCCAAGAGTTGAGCCAAGGAAAGGGACCTTGGGATGAAAACAAACGAATGAATGAATGAGCAAACTTTAAAAGCCATCACACACACAACAGGATTTGTAAATAGATTTCTTATGCTTTGTTTGGACCCACAGACCAAAAAATAAAATATGGTCTGCCTATACACATCAAGCCTCCCTGCAGCACCCTGTAAGGCACTCCTGGCCCTCTCTCTGCTGGGGCCTATCTAAGGAGTTGTGAATGAAGGAGACATCTACCTGAAGCTATCAGAGCCTCTCCTCTGTCCATCTCAGGCTCCTATTCCCATGCAGCAAGGTGCTTTGAGATCAAAAGGTTTATGAGCCTTTAGAACATTGCCTTGGGCAGGCAGCAAGCATGGTACTGTGCTCTTCCTCCTCAAGAATCACCTACACATAATTATACCCTATTCTCTATTACCTTGACCCCACCAATCCTTTTAGCAATGACACAACACTGATGCCTAGACCAGGTTGTGGAGACCAGGGCAAGGGAGGGCTCGGCTAGCTTAAACATTGATTTGGGAGACAGAACTTGGGAGTTTGCAGAGACATCTGCGTGGCCTCTCATTTGGAACTCACCAGCACTCCCATGAGGTAGGGACTGCAGTTGTTATCACCATATCCATACTACAGATGAGAAAACTGAGTTCAGCCTGGAAAAGAGAAGGCTTTGGGGTGGGGGTGCAGTTGATAGTTGGATCCCAGCATTTTAGTGGAAGAGCATGCACGTTGTCAATTCTACACGACTCCAGGGGGCAAAGCCAACAGTGGTGAATAAAAGCTAGTGAGAAGCACATTGAGGCTTGAAGTAAGCAGACACATGCTCCTGCCGAAGTGAGAAAAAGAATGCCTAATGATGGGAGATCCCCCACAGTGGGACCAGCCGCCCCCAAAGTGCTAGGTCCTCCCGCCCTGAAGGTCTTTTAAGTCAAGCAGGGGTGACTGTTGGTTAGGGATTGTGTAGAGGAGATGCCCTGGAGGCTAGCAGCTGACCCGAGTAATCACTGAGCTCCTTTTCACCTCTGACTTACCTATTGCTACCCAGCTATTAAGTGTCTGAACAAGATGTGAACCGAAGTCTTAGGATCACAGATTTAGCCCTAGAAGAGACCTAAGGGACCATTGAGTAGAAACCCTCATTTTGCAAATGAAGAAACTGAGGCACAGAACAATGACTCATGAGATGTCCAAGATAGAGTTTAAATCCGGATTTTCCTGATTCCAAGTCAAAGTATTGACTCTCTGGTAAGAGACAGATTTTGGGGGGACCCAAAGGAGAAATTATAGGGAAACCAATGGTCTTCCAGTCCCAAAGAACTTTTGCTAACTTAATAGCATAGTGTAGTGCTTAGAGCGCTGGGCTTAGAACTGTCTTTCACCTCTTTATATTCCCAGTGCTTAGCACAGTGCCTGGCATACAGGGGGTGCTTAAGAAATGCTTACTGACTGACTGGCTTGGGATTAAGAAAGATCTGAGTCCAAATTCTTCTTCTTCCACTAGCTGTATGACTGTGGCTCAGTATTTAACCTCTCTGAACCTCAGTTTCCACAACTGTAAAATAGAGGGATTGAACTGGCTGACCTCTGGGGTCCTCTCCAGCTCAGTCTGTGATCTTGTGACTCTCTGAGAGCTCACATCATATAGTGCTTTAAACACTGCAAACCATTTCACGTGTACTATTTAACTTAATCTATGTCACAACCCCACAAGGTAAGTGCCATTTCTCTTACCAGTTGCAATCTATGACTTGCCGCTGGACTCAGATGGCTCCAGAGGAGAGAGTGAGGCTGGTGACGGTGCACAGCCCTCCCTCACTTAAATCCAATTCACTTACGAGTCATGGTCCCCTTCGAGAATGAAGGACAAAGAATGAAAGGATGATTTCTCTTACCGTTCTTCCAGAAAGGATAGATAAATAACGTCCCCAGGTCTAAAGCTAATAATTGTCTGGGGCAGGAATTGAACCCTCCCTGCAAGACGGCAACATTGTGTCCTCTATGCCCCACTGTCTCCTGCTGAAACCATGACACCAGCTGTGGAAGCCTGTCTGAATGCATCCAGGAGGGAGTCAGGTCTGGAGAAGGCAGTGCCAACAGTATGTCCTTTGATGGCTCACTCTCCTTCAGGTTTCAGACTCCCATGTGGGGCAGCACCTTCTTTAAAAAGGGGCCAGGAACGTGTGACTGCCCAGGGCCTTGAGTTGCCAAGGCAGGTTGGCCCATGGGAAAGCAGCTCTGAGTTAAAGCCGGTGACCAGACTTAAGCTTTCCACCAGGAGGCCGGTGCCTAGGTAGCCTCTGGACCTTCCGAGCTGCTAATGCATTCTGAGGGCTGCTTTCACTGCTGATCTGCCGGCTCAGTCCCCATGGGGAGAGGGAATAATCCATTTATTATCCCAATACTGGAGAGCGGCTAGCTTAGGATTCTCTCTGGCTTAGGAAGAAATTTCTGTCGAGGCCAAAAGCACTTCTTTCTAGGCAGGGGTCCTGCTGAGTGGGATCTTTAGAGATTTCAGGGCCAGCTCAGGGGGCAGGTATCTGATGAAATCATGCCCGGTGTTGGTGTGGAAAGAGAAGCCAGTTTTCATTTCAAGCGGATTTCAATCCACCCCTGTCGTTTTGATAATCCACCCCTATGACTCTAAAAGACAAACTTAGCGGTGGGGAGTCTCAGGGCTCAGGAACTCGCCTGTTCTGCTGGGCCAGCCGAGGCAGAGCCTCCAGAGAGAGGTCCTGGGGCAGGGGCCTTCCTGCCCCCAAGGGGACCGTACTGCCATTTTCCTGAGCATTCATGCTTGCTGCCAGGTGACAGCTGTGCTTCTCAGGCAGTGTGTTGTGATTACATCTGCCCATCTGCCAAGCCCTTCACTCTCTTGTGGCCTGGATCCCCGTGGCTGCAGTTTGGGGAAAACTTCTCAGAATCATAGTTTTAAACGCATAAAATAAAATACATGAGATTAGAAAGGGAACTGATTATATTGAAATACAGTGATCGAAAAAAAAATTTGTAGAACTAAATTCACAGGTCCCTGATGAAGAAATTTTCATTTCACCTAGACAGCTGTTACTCAGGGTGAGTAGATCACCCTGGTTAGGTGGAGAGAAAGCAGGCTTGGCATTTGAGATGGTTTATACAGAAATTCAGTTTACCTTCAAATCAACAAAATGGAGACTCTGTTGTCCAATCCAGATTACAAAGGAGTACAAATGAGCTTCCTGAAACCCAGAGAGGCTCTTTGCCCGTGACCACCCAGAGAGTAAATGCCTGAGGCAGGAATGGAACCCTGGTCTCCTGGTCTTCCATTCCATCTCCCACCTCCCTGGGGCATTTCCTCATCATTCCCCAGATGCCAGGGACCTCTCATAAAATTATGTTAGCTTTAGATACCTGGTTTAGCAGCAGAATGGTAGGGGGCTCTCTGTTCAGTCATTTCAGTCATCCTCAACTCTTCATGACCCCATTTGGGGCTTTCTTGGCAGAGATACTGGAGTGCTTTGCCATTTCCTTCTCTGACTCATTTTAGAAATGAGGAAACTGAGGCAAACTGGGTTCAGTGACCTGCCCAGGGTCACACAGCTAGTGAGTGTCTGAGGCTGCATTTGAACTCATGAAGATGAGTCTTCCCCACTGCAGGCCCTGTGTGCACCACGGCGCCACCTAGCTGCCCCAATTGTAGGTGGTAGAGAACACAGCTGGGGTTTCAGTAAAGGCCTCTCAGAGGAAGTGGCCCAGTTAAAAGAGGCCAAGGGGAGGGGGGAGAACATTTCTGGTGTGGGGTACAGCCTGAGCAAGCCCACGGAGGTGGGAGGTGACTCGGGTTCAGGAAACCTCAAGCTAGCCAGTTTGACTGCAGTGTTGAATGTTTGGGGAGGGGGAGGTGCAGCCATTCTGGACAGATGGGCGGCTGGCAGACTCTGTATCGTGGCAGGGATCAGACGCCAGTAACCGTCCGGGAGCAGGGCTCTGACGGGGGCAGGCCTGTGCATTAGGAAGATGAATTCGGCAGCCAGTTGGGGTGGGAGGAAAGTGAATTGATTTAACTGAATTGAACAAGAAGAGTTGCAGAATTGAAGACCACGTGTGGTCCCCATGGGCCTCGACTTAACCTATCTACACACTGGACCCTGCGCCTATTTCATCTGGGGCCTGATTTCCCCTTTCCCCATCTCCTGCACAGAGGAAAAGCTGCGTTCCAGCTACAACCGAGGGCTCATCTCAAGGGCAAAAATCAAGGCCATCAAGTATAGCATCGTCGTCATTTTTGGTAGGTAAACCCCCCTGAGTAGGGCATCTGGGACCTTCTGTTGCTGTTCAGCCACTTTAATTGCTTCTTGACCCCATTTGGGGTTTTCTTGGCAAAGTTACTGGAGGGGTTCACCATTTCCTTCTCCAGCTCATTTTACAGATGAGGAAACTGAGGCAAATAGGGGTAAGTGACTTGCCCAGGGTCACACAGCTATTAAGTGTCTGAATTTGAACTCAGATCCTCCTGACTCCAGGCCCTGTACTCTATCCACTGTACCACCTAGCTGCCCAATTCACCTACTCCATGTGAATTGCAAAGTGATGCCTAGTAAAGGTAGCAACGGAGAGAGCCCCCAGTGGAGAGTGGCTCACAATGACCGCAAAGCTTTGTTTGAGATGAGGAGAGATCTGCTAACTGTGTTTTTACTGGGAAGCATGTTTAAGGTTAGGGAGGTAAAGGGCAAGTTCTCTATTTCATTTGAGTTCTTCACACATGGTTAGATTTTGAAAGATTAACCTGGTGGAATCCGGGTCCATTAACCAGCATTTATTAAGTGCTCAGAACTCAACGCTGGGCATACACACAAAAGCAGGAAGAAAGATGATCCCTGCCCTCCAGGAGCTTACATCCTGAGGGGAGAAGACACCACATTAGAGGCAGTGGCACAAACTGGAGGGGGGCGGGTGGAATAAGGGGTGAAATCCCTGGAGCAGGAGCAGAATAGAAAGTCCAGGGGAGATGAGGCAACAGGACGGGAAGTCGGCCTCCTTAAAATAGCGGATCTGCGAAGAGCTAGTCAGTCCAGGAGAGGCCAAAGGGGCAGCCCAGGGCTCTGCCAGTGTGAGGAATGCGAGGCTGGGCTGACAGAGCTTCCAGGGCACAGACCCTCTGCGGAGGTGGGTCAGCAGAGCGGCCTGGCACACTGGGCCAGATGGCCCCGGAGGTAGAGAGCTGGAGCGGGATTCTGGAAGATCTAGGTTCCAGTCCTGCCCTGCTGGTCTTCTCTGGCAGCTGCTCTGGCACACATAGTCTTAGAGTTAGCCACCTAGAGCCCTGAATGATGAAGTCATTGTCCAGGGCCACACGGCCAGTGTCCATCTCCCTGGCTTCCCAGCTGTCTCTGTCTCCAGGTCTCCTCTCTTTCATGTTCCTTCCTCTCCAGCCACCTTTCCTCTTTTTCATCCACTCTCCTCGTTATGGTTCTGATTGGAGACATTTATTATGTATAAATAGCTAAGGGAGGCTTTGGAATGTGGAGAATTGGGGCTCTCCATCTCCATGTGAGCAGGACAGGGAAGGGAACCAGGACTCCGGCCTGGGGGTGGAGGACAGGATTTTGGCCTGGGGGAAGGGGACCAGGAGTAGGGCCTGGGGGAGGAGGAATTGGCAGGGAGGGGAGGGGACCAGGATTCCAGCCTGGGGGTGGCTCCCCTCAAGTCCAGGCTCTTCTCCATCTTTATTTGACTTGTAAAGCACTTGGATCCTAGAGGCTCCCAGCATGCTCCCCTCTTGGCATTAGACACTGCGAAAGCCTCAGAGTAACCCTTTTCAGCCTCAAAAGACAATGGACACATGCTGACACAGCGCAGGAGGGAGGAGTCTGGGGGGAGATGGATTCAAAGCAGGAAAAACTGAGAGGAGGGGGGAGAAACATAGCTCAATTCCAAACACTGATCTTGAGGAGCAAACATATATTCTTCCAAGATTTCAAAGCTTTTAATCAGAGGTCCCTGCAGTAGATAAAAGACTTTCCTTCCTAGACATTCATAGACCTGGATCTAGCTTTCCTGGGAATTGAATTGAAAATGCACAGGAGCTGAGACAGTTGGGAGGGGACCTTGGAGCCATCCAGTCCCAACCCTTTCATTTTAGGAGGGGGTACCTTGAGTCCCAGGGAGGTTAAATGATGTGTCCAGGGTCCCACAGATACTATGTGTCAGAGCCATGATTTGAATATCTATCTGTTGACTCCAAATCCTGTTCTGCTTCCAGGAAACCACAACTCCCCTGGTGATGGGGGAGAGTCTGTTATTTTATTTGTCTGATGTTTTGTACAGTCGTGGGAAAAGAAAGCACAATATGCTGGAGAAAGGAAGAAGTCTATGAGGCACACATCATCCTGAGAGCGAACAACCTGGTGTATATAACATATCCGCCTTTCGAGGTGAAATCATGGAAGTTGCCTGAGTCCTAGAAAGATCATTGCAAGCTGTTACTGGGTCTGTGAAGGGCTGCTGTGTGCTGGTGATTAGGCGAGCATCGATCCTGGGGATAGGGTCTTAATCGATGACCATCCAAGATCAAGTTGGGGTTTGTACCAAAATCCGAGGGGCTAACATAAACAGGAGAAGCAACCGTGGGCCAGGGAAGTTGAGGCTAGAAGGTCAGCACTAGACCAGAAAGCAGGAAATGGAAAGAACTGGGGAGCTGATCATTTGCTTGACTCCACCCTCTCTCTACTGGTGGTTGATTTGAAAGCCAGCCCCACTCTGTGGTGCTACGTTGTCATGAGCAGGGCTGGGGTCCACCATGCCCTTTCCTGACTGACATCAACACGACCTTACCCCAAAGGATGCAAAGACCTCTGCCTACCAACTTAATCCAAAGCAGCTCAATGCCACAGCATGTTCCATTGCTTTAATCAGCAAGAAAAATTGGAGTTTAAAAATACCCCATCCCTCTCCATATCACACACATACACACACACACACACACACACACACACACAATGCAGTGTCGTGGGTGCATTCAAAGGAATGGGTCACTTTCTGTAGCACTTTGGAGAATGTGAAATATGGATCACTTTCTGTAGCACTTTGGGGAATGTGAAAAATAAAGACCCTTTTAGAAGGCAGGACTTGGTGTTCTAAAAGCATCCACAAACCCTAGAAAAAGAACATTGTCAAAAGACTTGACTGTATTCTGAAAGTCGTGATTCTGCCGCCCTGTTTCCCCTCTCTCCACCCCCAACACACACATACACATTATATCAACGATCTGAAAGTGAGAAAGAAGGATGTTGAAATACTCGGTATCTCTATGGAGCTTTTCTCTGAGGCTCTCAGAAAAGCTTTATCATCGTTATACTTAGAGCTGCATTTTATGTATATCCCACATTGATTTAGCCCCAGAGCCATAACTAAAGTGGGGCAATCACGTCTTTGCCCAGAGTACTGAAACTTAGAGGTTGCCTTTGACCCTTAACAATCCCTCACCAATCTGAAAACAAGCCTAGTAGACACTTAATAACAAGAGTTAAAGTAAGTGTCTATACCCCAAATAAGCTCGGTGCCAATCTGGTCTTCCTCATTTTGCACAAATGAAGCCAAGCTTCATTAATTCAGAATACCTGAGGGCCAGAAGCAGTAAGACTATCTTAATCTAGTGAAAAGTCTAAATAACAAATGTTATTTTCACAAATCAATGAGCTCATTGATATAGCAACTCTCCAATGGTGCAGGTAGGCCCATCCCTTCCTTCCCGTCCTATGCAACTCTTCTCCATCTCTTCCCATAAATGGGACATAGGGAGTTTGTGCTGGTCTATCTCTTGTCACTGCATAGATATCAATGGAACATATGCGCTGTCCATCTGCTATCCCCAGCTCTCATGGTGTAAGTATTATTGGTTTTATTTTTCATGTATTTTATTTTGTTTAAGCCTATAACCAGGCCAAGAAAGTTTCTGTCCAATAGAAGATTTACGGGGCTTGCTTTATGGATAGGTAGTCAGTATTCATGGCTAGCATATCATTTGCTTATAAGTAAGGGCGTGAAATTTGTAAAACACACAAAGGCACAATTTTAATCTTTGTAAGTTAGGCCCTCGAGGAGGATTTGAATGGAGGTGAGGAAGCCCATAACTGTATTACGTTTTAAATGAGTATTTACACTCTTATTTACTCATGTGGAGAGATTGGTTTTAAGCTCCTGAAACAATCAAAGGCTTTCAGGTAGCACAGTTACTGAAAACAAATTCTTCCCCATGCTCTCTGTTCCAGTCAAACTGCCAGCTTTGTTCTTCCTCTTCCAAAGCCCTTCATCTCTCAACCCCACACCTTTGTACAGGCTGGAATGGCATGACTCTTCACCCCGCCATCTCTTAGAATCCTTAACTGCCTTCAAAGCTCAGCTGCAGTGAAGCTTCCTACATGAGTCCTTCCTTTGTCCCTACAGAGGTTCATTCCCTCTGCCCCTAAATTAATACATATATCAAACTTGCACAGAAACATGTCATACATACATAAACACACATGAATGCATATGTGTGTATGTATTGTGTACATATATCTAGATATAATTAGATGTAGATATAGATCTACTCATGTGTGTTTAGTTTCTGTGACAGAATGCAGGCTCCCCGAGAACAGAAACTGGTTGTTATCTTTGTGCCACCACTTCCTAGCACAATGTCTGACACATTAAGCAGAGTCTCTAATAAACGCTCACTGATGGATTGAATGATTTGGACCCAGAAGATTTGTGTTCAAATGCCAGTTCTGCCACCTTTGTGACCTTGGACATGTCTTTCATTACCTCATTTTTCTCCTCTGTGAAAGGAGGGGAGTGGATGAGATGACTTCTAAGCTCTCTTCCACTCTAAAGCTGTTATTTACGGAGACCTCCTAGTCCAAACACGAGGAGCTGAACCCTCACTTTCTTTCATATCTCAGAGTCAGACTTTGTCCTCGGACAAGGTCAATTCCTAGTTAAGAGTTTGCTAACTGACTGGTTCTGATTAGTTTCAGAGCCTGGGCTTTTAAGCCTAACGCAGTCTGCATGGCTAGAGAAAAGACTGACCAAATGGATCATTACAAAGGTTCTTAATGAATTTGTTGCCCACAGGAAGGAGCCATTCAAGAAATTAAGGCAGTAGCCAGGCTGCGTGGGAAGGAAAGGCTGTCTGAGGATCTGCAGGCCAAGGTTAAGCATTCATCCCACTTCTACCACTTGCTTCTCTCTCCTTTTAGCATTTGTGATCTGCTGGAGTCCCTACTTCCTCTTTGATATCCTGGACAACTTCAGCCTCCTCCCCGACACCAAAGAGCGCTTCTATGCCTCCGTGATCATCCAGAACCTGCCAGCCCTGAACAGTGCCATCAACCCCCTCATCTACTGCGTCTTCAGCAGCAGCCTCTGCTACCCCTGCAGGTCAGAACAGCGGCACCTTGGCTTCCTGGGCACTGGCGGCTCCTTCAGCCCTGTCGATCCAGGCGTTGCCTTATTGGAGCTCCCTGATGTTATCAGGGCATCCCCATTTTATAGACGAGGAAACCCAGGCTTGGAGAGATAAGTGACACGAATTAGGGGTAGAGCCAAAGACTGCAGCCACCTGGGTCCCTTTGACCCCTGGTCCTAGGGACTTCCCATTAAAGATACTATTGCTGGCCCTCTGATCACTGGGAAATCAGTATGAGTTGAGGGGAAAATAAGAAAAGAGGCTGGATTTAGAATAAAGCCCTGGATTCAAATCCTACCTCTGGCACTTGCTCTGTTTCTAAGAATCTCTTGCTTCCTCCAAGGCTGAGCTCAAGTACCATTTTCTTTCTGAGTGAGGCCTATTTTGACTCCCACAGTTTCCAGTGACCACCCTTTGGAATTACTCTGCATTTATATATGTGCACAAGCACAGTAGAACATAAGCTCTTCATGGTCATAGGAGCAGAGGCTCACAGTTTTAGAGCTGGCAAGTTAATAAAGTCCAATTGCTTCATTTTACAGATGGGGAAACTGAGGCTCAGAGACATGGCCCAGAATCCCATATCTAGCATCTGAAACAGAAATCAAACTCAGAGCTTCTTGACATGGCCCCAGGGACCTGAAGGCCTTTACATTATCCCTAAGCTAAGAGGGAGCTAGCTGTTAAAACATGGTATGGCTAAATAAATCTCCAGCTTCTGGCATGAGAAAGAAAAGGGGACATGATGGCAACAGACCAGGCTGAGATGGCCTAGGCAAGGCCTGAGTGAGATCGATCCTCAGTGTGGCCCTTCTGAAATCAAAAGGAGAACAGAAAGGTTGCAGAGCCACCCCCCGGGGCTATGAGGGCCAAGGACTGGCTGATTTGGGTCACTGTATCCCCTTAGTGCCCAGCATATAGTAGGTGTTTATTGAATGGATGAATGAGTGAATGAATGAATGAATGAATGAATGAATTTGTGTCATCTTGGTCATCGCCTCATCTCTCTGAGCCTCAGTTTCCCTGTAGAGTCAAACTATCTGGTTTTAAAGCACAGCTTTGGCATATACTGCCTGTGTGACCTTGGATGGGTTAATTTACTTCACCAAGTCTCAGTTTGCTCGTCTGTAAAATGAGGCAATCGGACTAGGGTAGGGTCTCTGCGGACTCTTCCAGCTCCAAGTCTCTAATCCTTAAATGAAAGGGCTGAATTTGGCAACCTCTGAGGTCTCTTCGGGCTCTGAATGCATGATTTTAGTATTCTCTACCTGTCTCACAGATAAAATTAATGTTTGTTTTCTCACTTTACTTTCTCTAGGGAAAGAAGGAATATACGAGGGACTTTCCAAGATAGAACAGAGAGGCATGAGATGCACATCAGGCCTAAGCCAGAATTTGTTTAGCAGGGAGGTTGGGGGGACAGTGGCTGCTAAGAACTTGAGCTCAGTAAAGCAACCTGGTCATTCTCCCCTCAGCAGGGCAGGAGCTGGCAAATGCCTCAGCCATCCCTTCACCATCCCTTCCATCATCCAAATGAACTCTGCCTCCAATCTGGAGCAGCCTGGCCGGATCGACGAGGCTTCTATTTAAACAGAGATCTGCGGCCTGGTCACTGGCATGGGGCAGTGCAGGCTGATTCTAAGTCACTGATAAAACAGCAAAAGGAGCACAAATTCTATTCCTGGGTCACCCTTTATGCCTTCATTCTCTGTGGTCAACAGATTGGGGGCTTGGTGGAGTGGAGAGAAGAAAGGTGGGGAAAGGTGGGAGAGATGAGGCAAGGAAGGGAAGAAGCCGGGCTGGAAATCGACTGGGGCGTGAGCAGTTTATTATTTCACAAAGCCTTCATAACTATCATTCAACAGCCATAGCCTCAGAATGGTTTGTCTTCTAAATCCTGGCCTTGGTTCATTTCCACTAAAGGACTGTCAATATCTCCTCTCCTGGACAACTTTGGCTTGTGGGTGAGTTTGTAGGTAGCAGCCGCTCTATCTAGGGAGGGTCACAACATCTGGTTCTGCTGACCACTGGTGTTGGAAAGGATCAGGACTGGCAATGGCCTGCGCTTTGAGCCAAGGACCTAAGACATTGCACGTGGGCAGCTAAGGACTAAGACCATGCTTGCTGGGGAAGAAAAGCAAAAAGCCAGAGAGGATTGTGGGAAGGGAGAATTAAAGGGCAACGAGGACTGCCTGGGCTGGGAAAGCAGCAGAATTGAGAGTGTGCCTCTCCCCACCTCCATTCTCCAGAAGGAAGACTCCCGCTGTTTCAGGTCCCGATGTCTCGGGGAAGCGTCCCTGTCCAGACTGACATGACATTTCTCGTGGCGCCTGCCCAAGCTGCCTGCCTCCACCCTCTCCAATCTGCACGCTCCAGGACCTTATCCGCAGAAGCCTACGTGTCATTCTGCTGTATGTTGCTTGTGTTTAAGCTTGTTGTAGCCATCCATGAGATCTTCTCTCATCACCTTGATCTAAGTGGGACATGGTTAAGTGCGGGGGAAAAGTGGTTAATCCTTTTATGGTCAGATTCCTTCCCCTCCAAGGATAAGGAGCAAATGTCCCTCAGTTATGTACAGATCACCACCTATGGGCACAAGGATGAACATTTTATTTGTAGCATTGCATGTATTCCCGACATTAAAGCGTCCTTGGCACAACCCTCCTACCCAGGATTCAGCACTTAAATCTCCTTCTGCTGCGGCAAGAGTGGAGTCATTAAAATGTTGGACAGATTTTAATAGCACTCTGGCCCTTATTACAGCGTCAGCCAAGGGGTGGCATATTTAAGGTCATGGTGGCATTTCTCCCATGAACTCCTCTCATTCCATCTGTGCATGAAGGAAAACATCCCTTTAGTCTAACATCGGAGTCGTCAGCCACCGTCTGCCCAGTGGGGTTTTGCTAAATTTCAAAAATCGAGGCTAGGTTTCTGGTTCTAAAACTCATGGAAACCACTTGGATAGACTTGGGTGACCCCGCTGGCACGGGGTTGCTTTTGTTTATTAATGAACACTGCCCATCCTTTGGCTGGAGATCACAGCTCTCCATAACAGATGCACGGAGTCATTTTCAAAACCTTTGCATGAATCTGGGCCAATTAACAACCAAGGTCTGGAACATACCCTAGACTGACAAGTCAGAGATCTGCTTACTCTGCCTCGAACCCAACTGCAGAAGTCCCAGAACTCAGTAAAGTCCCCATCTGCAAACGGCCTTTGCTGCCTACCTCAGTGATCAGTTGGCTCTGCGAGTTAATGAGAGTGTCTTCTGGAGAATATGGCGCGCAGAAGATAAAGTCCCCCATTGTTATGGTTGCTGCTCCTAAAACACTGTAGCTGCTATCACCGCAGAAGGAGCGGTGGTGAATAAGACAAGCACGTGGGATGTTGTGATAAACTGCCTGCTTAAAACGGAAAGTACTTTGTAGAGACCTGGATTGTGGGAGCCCAGTTTGTTTGCTGAACTAATGATGGGAATAGAAATGCACCTTAAGAGCCACGATTCTCCCAGCCCCAGGGTCGCCACCTATACAGATCACAACCAATCTATGACTCAGTGGACTCAGTGTGTCACATGATCACATTTTAAAGGGGGAAGGGATCTTAGCCCATTTTACAGATGGGGAAATTGAGACACAGAGGAGTTGCCCACAGTCACACGGGAAATAATGGAAGAGTTGGGAAATGGATTGTGGCTCTAACCCCCAAGCCAGGGCTCTTCCCATGGTGTCACGTTCGGAAATCATAAAGCTGCTCAAGGTGCAGAGAGGTACAGTGAGGTTCCCACGGTCAGACGGGCCACACGATGTCCACTCAAGCCTGGCACTTGCTCTACTACACCACACAAGCTGTTTGGGTTGGTTTTGTTTTGTTTTAACCTGGACCTGCAATCTTAATCTGTGTTAGGAGCTTTCTCTATCAATCACAATTTCCTCTGTCGATACTGAGCAACTCCTCTGTAGCTTATAGTGTCCAAGAGTTCCCTGAGAACCTCGAGATAAAGTGGCTTGCCCAGGGTCCTACAGCTAGTCTGTGTCAGAGGTCAGAAAGGAGCCCAAGTCTTGCTGGCTTCCAGGAAAGCTTTCTAGCCGCTGCCCCACACTGCCTCTTGCCAAGATAATTCTGGAAACAATTTGGATTTTATTCTATGAAAAGACATGGATCCCTCTGCTGCATACCAGCCATAGCAAGTCATGTCCCTCTCCCGGGGCTCACTTGCCTCATCTATAAAATAAAAATAGCACCTTCTCTGCCTAAAACCAGAGGTTAGACCGAGATCTCTTCAGCTCTCAGCACTGACATTTATAATTTGACTATCTAAAGGCGTGTCTTGAGAATAAGAGATCCCAGGATCTTTCCCGAGGACCTTGTCCAGCTTACTTTACATTCCATTTCCATTCAGTTCAACTACTAAAGCACCTACTGGGTGCACATGGATGAGTCACTACACATTTCAAGAAAGAGAAAGCTAACCGTTGATGGATTTGTAGCCAGTGGTGCCCGAGCCCAACCTTGCAGGAAGCTCGGGAGTCTAAGCAGTAGTCTAGAGGAGCCATTGCAAGGTGGCCAATATCGTGCTAAAGTCCGTGTCTTTTCCCTCCACGACTGTGGCCTCTGAGATGAGGGTACAATTGACCATCTTGAACATCCTTTGAGTCTTGGGAGAAAATGAGTGTCCAGTTGGGCAATGCCCCAAGAGGAAGGTTAGAGGAGAGAGTTTGGGAGGGTAGTGCCATGCTTTTGAGCAATACAAAGGCACTGACCTCCTGCAGCAGAGACACACCCAAGGCTTTCATGACAGCTCTCCATTCCAGGGCTAGAGGGACCATCTGTCTAACAAAAACAGGTGGATTTAATCAAGTCAAGCTCACAAAAGAAATGTGTGCTTTTCCTTCACTGAAGCAAATTAAGGGAGAATGGAAAAATCTATTCAGCTTATCAGGCAGATGTTAGACATAATTTAATTGAATTCTAGTTTTACCAATGTTCCGCACTATTTTTCCCAAATACTTTAATTTGTGGTTATTTAAGGGGAAAGAAAACCTAAAGAAAGAGAGCCTTGAAGCACTCAATAAGTTTTATTTTGACAAAAATTCTCCAATACTTTAAACAATTTGTCTTTTTGGTATTCCAGGCCCTTTAAGTATCTGTGTGGTACAATAGGAGAAGGACAGAATATAGAATTAGAAGACCTGGGTTCAAGTTCCAGCCCAAAACTTTCCTAGCTGTGTGACCTTAGTTTTCTCATCTGCAAAATGGGAGTAATAACTCTCGAGCTGCCTCACTTCCACACAAGTAAAGTGTAGCACTTTTCCCACCTCTGATGTCCCAGGCAGGAAGAGCCAAGGGTCAAACTGTTGTGGAGCATGGAAGATGCAGGCCTTTCAACGTGGTCAGACTTAGCAGGGTTTGTGACCTATCAAAACAACCTTGAAGGACTGAGGGTCGCCTCCCCACCACGGTGAGGCACTAGAAGGGAATTTTAGTGGAGGAATACACGTATTGCACACGCATATGCCTTTATACACACAGATAGGTATATGTGAGTATATTGTGTATATATACATGTACCTACATGGCATGTTAAGGTTTAACAAATCACTTTGCAAATATTATCTCACTGGATTCTCACAACAGCCCTGGGTGAATGGCACAGGTGCTTTTATTATCCCCATTTTCAAGACAAAGAAGCTGAGGCAGACAGAGGTTATGAGACGTGTAGCATCACAGCCAATCAGTGTCCAAGACCACATCTGGGCTCGGGTCTCCCTGACCCCAGCTCCAGCACTCTGTCCACTCTGTCACCTAGATGCTTCTGAGTAAGCCACTCTGAACCATGAGTCTCTCATCTTTCAAATGAGACTGATAAGGGCCTGTCTTACGGGTTTGTTGATGAGACTTGGGGTGGAGGGGGTGACGTGCATTCTTGCTTACTAAGAAGAGACTGGCTCAAAGCTCGAATTTCTCTTAAACTGCTAGATGATTTCCTTTCCCTTTAAGGGAAAGCAGAGCTCAGAGGAAGTAGCAGACTTGGCCTCTATAATCAGCAGCCACTAATCCTTGTGAGTCTCCAAGGACGCAGTGTCGGTAGAGCGCTTTTCAAACCTTAAAGTGGCGTACAAATGTCAGTTATTATGAGGGAAACTCTCTTCACTTGCGTAGATAGCCGCCCCTGCCCCTTTGTCCTGTGTACCTACCGTCCTATGCTTTTATCGGTCCTGCGTAGGATCCGCGCCCCACACCAGAGATCTTCCGCTGGTTCTTTTAATATCACGTGGCTACAGGTTGGCACCATCCCTAGGCTGTCTCTCCCTCCCTCCCTTCATCCATTTCTCCCACCCCAGTCATCATTGGTGCTGTGTCTCAGTCTGCTGCCACCCACCAGGCACCTTCCTACAGACGCTTGGGTCACCTACAACTCTAATTCTTCAGAGGTGGTGATGTCGCACAAGTTGCAGCCATATGGTGTCCTTCCATACACAAAATACTGATTTTTTTTAAAAATCAAGATTGTCTTCCTTAGGCCCTGTTCTCTTTCAGAATGGCTCTGTTGGGCTAGGATATAACCCCATCAAATCAAACACTGGAGGAGGAAATAAACAGATTGAGGAATAAACCCTCAACAATCATTCACTGGATGAGAACAAATGAATGAATCAGCAACCTGATACAAACAGGAAGAAATAGGATTAAGAGTTCATTAAAGCCCTAGTTATTCAAAGGCACTGTAAAGGCACCTGCTAACAAGGTTCCTTCCCTAGATTAGTTAATAAAGCCATGCATGGTGGGTACCCATACCTGTGATCTGAGCTGCCAGGAGCACTGAGGCTGCTGAGTTGTGACTGGCAGGAAGGAAGCCAGCGGATCCGCACTGAGCTTGGCAGTCCGATGAGGAGCCCTCAAGAGTGAGGGGCACCCAGACTGCCTGAGGAGGGCTTGAGAACTGGCCCAGACTGCCAATGGACGGTTAAGATTGGCCCATGAGCAGTCTATGACCTTCCAGGTGGGGCAACATAGGGAGACCCAGACTTCAAAAAGAAAAAAAAAAGTAATAAAGATTCAAGGAAACTGGACAAAGTGTTGAATTGGGGTTGGGGAATGTGCTGCTTTACTCCATGTCTGACTTTGGGCAAGTCACTGAACCACCCTGGGACTCAGTTTCCTCTTCCATCCAGTCAAGGGCTGGGTCCCTTCCAGCTCTAAATCCCAGGATTCCAGAGACTGACGATCAAACCGACTTAGCAGCCCCAGGACCTGGCACACACAGATGGAATTAAGGCCTTTGGTGAATCTGCCCTTGTAGAAGAGCAAGAAATCACCTCTAGAAAAGATTGGCCTCAAAAGCCCAAGAAGAAACCAGTGACCTTTTCGTTAGAAAACCTAATGGAGAAAAGGAGAGGGGATTTAGCACAAGAGGCACTTTAGAGGCTGTCTACGCCCACCCCTTCATTTTCTGGATTAGATACCTGAGGCCAGAGTCTTTGAGTGACCTACCAAAGGTTGCAGGGGTGAAAACAGGCATTTTGGAAAGCCACGTTCACTGACTTCAGATCCAACCTTATTGTTGTGAAGCTGCTCTTCTACCTTCAGTCAGGGAGAATTCTGATTCCGCCTTGAGGAACAAGAGGGCATCCAACTAGAGATGAGTGGCTAGCCGCTCGCTCCCCCACCAGGCTCCTCTTGGGTTCTTTCTGCTGCCTCTGTATCAGCTGTGCCTCTCTGTCTCTGTCTCTCTCTCCTTTCTTCTCTCCCTCCTTTACCTTCTTCCTTCTCTCCCTCCTCCTTTTTCCACTCACCGAAATGGAGACCTGATCAGTGTTTGCTGAGTGTATCATGACCAAAGAGAAGTATAAAGAGTGATGAAGATCATAGCATGATTATATCATAGATGTAGAGATAGAAGGGACCTTAGAAGTCCTTTAGCCCAAATTCCCTCATTTAACAGATAAGAAAGTTGATATTGACTTGTTTAAGGTCACATGGTTAATGTGTCAAGAGGCAGGATTCAGACTCAGGCCCCAATCCAGGGTTCTTAACCCCTGTGCCATACAGCCCCTTGAAAAGACCAAGAAAGGAGCAGAGTTAGGGGCAGCTGCAGCAATATTCAGAACAAATAAATAAAAATAATTCAAGAAAATAATACTGAGTCAGGGGACCATCACTGTATTTCCACCCAGATCTTGGCTCCCTGGCATTCCCTTCAACCTGCAATCATTTCTCTGGGCTGGTTTCCCAAAAGCCAGACCGCCTGTAGGAAGACCATGTGGTTCTCTTTGCTACATCCCTGCCCCACTCACCTGGCTTCTACTGACTTGTTGAGCACACTCAACTCTTAGACATTCTCAGGACAACATTCAATGGAAGGTGGGGAAAACTAGGTATCTACTAACCAAGGAAAATGATTAATTGTCAATAATTTACAGATGAGATGGCATGCACAGAGCCCACGATTGTGGGTTTTATAGGAAGATGGAGGGAGTGCCCTGCACAGTTCCATCTTGGGGTGGGCTTACAGCCATTCATGCTGTCTCACAATGGATGATTGTTAAATTTTCATTGTGAGCGTTTTACCTCAGAAATTAGCAAATGTTTAAGAAATCTAAGCTTTCTTTATTGTTCTGCTGATGGTCTAGACTTAAAGTGATAGAGTCGGTGAGGTGGTACAATACGTAAATATTGGACCTGAAGTCAGGAAGACCAGAGTTCAAAGCCAGCCTCACATACTTCCTAGCTGTGTGACCCTGGGCAAGTCACTTTAATTCAATAATTTACTGAGTGCCTACTGTGTGCCAGGCACTGTGTAAAATGGGGATAATAACCCCTGCTTCCCCGGGTTGTTGTGAGGATCAAATGAGGTAATACTTATAAAGCTCTTAGCTCCATGCCTGGCAGCTAGTCAATGCTGTGGAGATTATTGCCCTTCTCCCATGATGGAGAAAATGTAGCAGATTACATTTTTAAACGAGTAAATTTTTTTCAGTGAGCGAGTCTTTAAACATTTACCAACACAGGCCTGGATGGACCCGACTGGTTTTCCACCTCTGATATCACACAGGCAGATAGCTGCCAGTGATCAAGGCTGCCTGAGGCACGGGCATGAACTGAAGGTTCTAGGTCTAAAAGATACCAAAGAAGGGTGGGGGTGCAAGGTAGGAGGAGGAATGTGTGTACAGAACAAGGCAATGTGTCCCACACAAGCTTCCTATTTCAGAGACTCCCTCTAAGAGTAGGGTTTTTTCCTGACCACCACACATGGGCAAGGCATTTTACCTCTCACAGCTTCAGTTCCCTACTCAGTAAAATGGGACAAAAAGACCCATATGTAGCCTCCCACACAAGTGGGCTTGCATGGTTCCTGTGTGCTGCGTATGTACATGGAGGGAGCCATGACCACTGCTTCAAAGAACCATAAAGAAACGGAGAGAGGAGGGTTGAGGAGACAAGGCGGGGCTTTGAAGAGCAGACAGGAGCCCTCAGACCCCCAGGCACGTAAGGAGGGAGGGCACCACAATGTGCCCCTTGATTCTCATTCCCTGCATTCCCAGAGGCCCCCTAAGCGCAGACTTCTCAAGCAAAATTGTGCTGTCCTGGGTTAAGCTGAGATTTCATCTTGTTTGCCAGTTGAAGAACTCCTGACTCTCACGTATGCTATACCTAACCTGATCTGTATAATTTCCCTGATTACTGTGTTTACTGCTTGCTTCAATAAATATGTTTGCTTGCCATGGGTAATTGTCTTCTGTTGGGGAGAAGAGGAACCACTCTTATCAGGACGAAGCTAACTCTTTACAATCCAGGTCCAGGTTGGGACAAATTCCCCTCCCAAGTGATTAGAAAGAGTCGATTTTACCCTAAACCCCCAAAGAGCATCACATCCCTAGAATGTAAATTTGGCATGAAATAGATATAATTTTAGTTCCATATTCCCCTTGAAGACATAGGAGGAAAAAACAGCCATCTAATCCCAACCATCCTTATACCCTCCACAAAAGAGGAACTCCAGTCTCCCCAGAGATGGCTTCTGG